TTATTTATTATTCATTTATTATTATTTATTATTTACTATTCAAAAACAAATCAAAAAGTATCACCCATGTGCAGCAGTACAGACACAGCAGTGTTCTCGTGCAACTGCTGCTACAGCGGCACTTGCTGCAGCCCTAACGCAGCAAATCCATCCCCCAAACACGGCGAAAGCCCCTGCTGCTGCTGCTGCTGCTGCTGTTGCTGCTGCTGCTGCTGCTGCAGCGTGGGGCGCACCTGTTCCGCCCTGATGAGGGCCCACTGCAGACGCGTGACAGCAGTGAGGCCCTGGGGCGGCAGCGGCAGCTGCTCCTCCGGCAGCACGTAGACCGGACCACTGCTCCTCCCTGGTCCACCGCCGGCTTGCTTCTTGGGGGGCCCTGGGAGACGCAGCAGCAGGAACAGCAGGAGCAACAGCAGCAGCAAAGGCAAGGGCAGCGAGGGTTCCACAAGGCGGTCCAAATCATCCCAGCAAACACTGCTGCAGCAGCAGGAAGCGCAGCACCAGCAGCAGCACGCACAGCAGCAGCAGCAGCACGCGCAGCAGCAAAAGCACGGCAGACACAGCAAAGCCCCACGCCAGCACAAACAAATCAAACCCCACAACTCCCGCTACTCAGCTATTTAAAAAGTTAGATAGCTAGCCAGCTAGCTAGCTAGCTAGCTGGCTAGCTAGCTAGCCAGCTAGCTAGGTGCAATAGATCTCACCTCCTTTCTTTCCACCTGGAGGCGGGGGGCCCCTTCCAGGGGGCCCCTTGCCCCCCGGGGGCGGCGGGGCCTTTCCCGGGGGGGCCCCGTTGGCTCCTGGCGGGGGCCCCGGGGGCCTTCCAGCCCCAGGGGGGGGCCCCGGGGGCGCCCCCCGGGCCCCCGGAGGGGGCCCCGGCGGCTTGCCCTTAGCAGCAGCAGGGGGGCCCCAAGCCTTGAAGCCAGGCGGCAGCCCCGGCGCTTTGCCTTTGGGTACTGCTGCTGCTGCTGTGGGGGCCCCTGAGGGGGCCCCCGGAGGGGACCCCGGAGGCCGCGCTTTGGGGGCCCCCAAGGGGGACCCCGGGGGGGGCCCTGGCGGGGTGGCTTTGGGGGCCCCCGCCCCTGCTGATGCTCCTGCTGCTGCTGCTGCTCCAGGGGGAGGGCCCGGGGGCTTGGCCTTCAGCCGCGCTGCAGCCCCTGGGGCTCCCGCTGCTGCTGCTGCTGCTGCTGCTGTGCCCGGAGGGGGCCCCGGTGGCTTCGCCTTGAGCACTGAGGGGGCCCCCTTAGGGGCCCCTGTGGGGGCCCCCGCTGGCTTCACCCCTTTGGGGGCCCCTGGAGCTGCATCTGCACCAACTTGAGTGTCATCCGGGGGCCCCAGGGGCCCTCCAAGGGGCCCCCCGGGGGGCCCCCTGGGGGGCCCCCCATGGGGTCCACATATATCTGGCTCCGTCTGTGTGGCGGTGTCTTTCTTCTGTGCTGGAGATAAGGCCGTGCTGCTGCAGGCAGGGCACATTCCTGCTGCTGCTGCTGCTGATGCTGGTGCCGGCTCTGCTGCTGCTGCTGCTGCCTGCCGGAAGCCCGCAGGTGAGGGGGCCGCATCTGCACTGGAGCCTTCCTTCGCAGGGCTGCTGCTGCGGCTGCTAGCGTCATTGCTGCCGCTGGTCCTGCTGCTGCTGCTGCTGCTGCCGCTGCTGCTGATGCTGCTGCTTTGCTGCCCTGCCGATGGAGATACAGGAACCTCGTTATCCACTTGCTGCTCCTGTGCGCTCCCCGGAGCTTCTGCTGCTGCAGCTGTCGCTTGAAGTTCTTTACTCTGCTGCTCCTGCTGCAGCTGGTGCTGCTCTTGCTGCTGCTGCTGCTGCTCTCCGTTCTGCTTTCGCGCTTGGACTTCCTTAGTCTCCTGCTCCTGCTGCAGCTGGTGCTGCACTTGCGGCTGCTGCTGCTGCTGCTCTCCGTTCTGCTTTCGGAGAGTCTTAAGCGGCAAAAGTCTCAGGAGCTGCAGCTTCCGCTGCTGCCGCTGCTGCTGCTGCTGCAGCGTCGGGGGGAGCACGAGAGGGCCCAGAGGAGACGAAGAACACATGCCAGGCAGCGACCATGCTCTGGAGCGGTAGGGACCTGCTGCTGCTGCTGCTGCTGCTGCTGCTGCTACTGCTGCTGCTCCGGCTTCTTGAGCACCCACATGGCCGACAATAGCAACTGAAGGCTCTAAAACGGCTGCAGGATGCTGCTGTTGCTGCTGCTGTTGTTCCTGCTGCTGCTGCCGCTGCTTTTGCTCTTGCTGTTCCTGAAGTGTCTGCTGCTGCTGCTGTTGCTGCTCGTAATCGTGCTGCAATTCCTGCTTGTTCTGCGGCACACTGCGCACGGCCTGCTCTTGCTGCTGCTGCTGCAGCTCTGGTTGACGCATTTCCTCGTGCTGCTGCTGTTGCTGCTGCTGCGGCTCCGGCCGCCGAATTTTCTTGTGCTCCGGCTGTTGCTGCTGCGGCTCTGGTAGCTGTATTTCCCCGTGCTGCTGCTGCGGCGGCGGCGGCTCGAGCAGCTGCAGTTGCTCATTCCGCTGCTGCTGCTGCTGCTGTTCCTGCTGCCGGGGCTCTTGAGGTTCAGGCGCTTCCTGCTCCAGTCCTTTTCGCTGTTGCTGCTGCTGTTCCTCTTGCTGTTGCTGCTGCTCCTGTCGCTGCTGCTGCATGGACGGCGAGACCGTTTGAGCACTAAACGGCTGTATTGCAAATTGCTGCTCTTGCCGCTCCGTTTGCTCCCGCTGCTCCTGCTGCTGCAGCTGCTGTTCCTGCTGTCCCTGCTCCTGCTTCTGCCGCTGCTCCTGCTCCTCCTGCTGCTGCTTCTGCTGCTGCAGCTGCTCCTGCTGCTGCTGCTTCTGCAGGTCCTGCCCCTGCTGCAGCTGCTGCTCCTCCTGCTGCTGCTCCTGCTGCTGCTGCTTCTGCTGCTGCTGCTCCTGCAGCTGCAGCGACGGATTGGCAGGAATAGGCACCTGCTGCTGCTGCAGTTCCATGGACTCGTCCTGCTGCTGCAGCTGCATCTGTTGCTGCTGCTGCCGCTGTTGCTCGGTCTCCATTAGGTGCGGAGACCTAGGGCCTGGTGGCAGCAACGCCTGCCGCTGCTGCTGCTGCTGCTCTTGCTGCTGGGACTGTCCCGGCGACGCGGGAGCCTGTTTAGTCTCCTGCTGCAGCAGCTGTTGCTGTTGCCGCTGCAGCTGCTGCTGCCGCTGCAGCTGCTGCTTCTGCTGCTGCACCCTCACGAGCGCTTCTTGGAGAGACTTTGCTGCCTCCTCCAGCAGCATTGCAACGGAGTCGCTGCTGCTGGGGGACCGGCCAGCTGCTGCTGCTGCTGCTGCTGC